AGTCATGTCATCAATGACACAGTTAGTTTTACTCTTCTTGGTTCCTTTAGAAATGTTGGAGGGGTAGTGGCCTGTACTGCCGGCATCATTCCTTATAAACTACAACACAGGACACTGGGTAACATCATTCTTCATGATTTTGCTGGTCATTCGGAATACTACTCCAGTCACAGTGCTGTGATTGAGAATCTGTTACAAGGTTCTGGTGGTGTGTTCCTGATAGTAGTGAATATATTGGAGAAGGAAGCAGTCAAACAGCTTCATCAGTGGCTAACAGTTGTGAGAAATGAAGCACAGAAAGCTCTTAATGAATGCCATGTTATTGTAATAGTCAGTCATGTGGATGAGATAAGTAATCCTGTTGAAAGGAGAAGGAGAAAGGAAGAAATACAGGAGATTATCGTACAGGAAAGGTGTGATAGTGTGTTCTTAGATTGTCGTAAGCTTGGTGGGAGTGGTATGGATTCCTTCTTTAATAAGTTGTGTAGTGCCTGTGAGTCCATTCGTAGTACAAGTGGAAGGAATAAATTCAATCTTTATCATCATGAAATGTACCGACTACTGGAGGAAAGGAAAGAGAATATACTGACCCTCTCTGATATAATGTCTGCTAGTAAAGAAAACTTTATACCAGATAAGAAAGAAGACATCTTGGATGTTCTTGATTCGTTGCACTCAATTGGTTTGATCAGTGTTCTTAAAAGTGAAGACAAGGTATGGGTTGTTGTGAATAAGGGTATACTACTAACTGAGGTGGATGGGATTCTCTTTGCTCCAGAGACATTCAAAGAACACGTTGACATTGCTAGCAATACTGGTATTGTTAGAGTGTCTGGTCTGACTAGACACTTCCCTAAATATGATCCTGACATGTTGATTCGTTTTTTAAAAAACATGGAACTCTGTCAAGAAATCAATCCATCTTTCCTAAGAATGACAAACCTCCATCAGTTAGCAGTGGAAGAGGAGGAGGAGGGAGGGAGAGAAAGAAGAGGAGAAAGGTTGTTGCACTTTCCATGTCTTTTTTCTACTGATAGACCTGATGAGATGACTAGTGAAGTGTACCAGTTCGGTTGGTGTCTACAGTGTACTAGTAAACATCATTTCTTTCCTCCTCGATACTTCCACGTCCTCTCATTACGTCTTGCTTACAAGATGGCTCTACCTCAAGAAGATGACAAGTTAAATCGTTACTGCGCATTTTGGAGAAATGGCCTTCACTGGTTTGATGACAATGGTGTAAGAGTATTAGTAGAGATTGTGGATGAGAGCCAGTGTGTACTAGTAATGATGTCCTGTGAAAAAGGTTACAGTGACAATATGGTGTCTCTAAGAAGAGATGTGATAGGAGAGGTAATGAGTGTTTATAAAGAATCCTGTCCCAGTCTAGAGGTAAAAGAGTTAGTTATTGATCCTAAAGAACTAGCCTATCCTGTGAATATACCAAGAGAAAGGACAACTTATGGCATATATAATGTACTGTTGGCAATTAAGAAAAGGAAACCATTTCTTGTGCATAATAAAGGACAAACAGGATTGAAGGAGATCCTAGCTGATGAATCATTATCAGATATTAGTAACCTGTCACTATTAGGAGGACGTGATATTAAGGTAAGAATTAACACACACAAACTGTTTGATACATTAATACAAGCACTAATAATCAAAAGGTCATATCTTTCTTATCAAATTACTCTGTCTTTGTCATAATTGTGGGTTGTCATTGTGTGGCTTTTACTACTAATAATATATACTTGTACATCTGTTAAACTCACCTTTCAGCAATACACTACTGATGTATATCACCTTGATAAACAAGCACAGTGACAAATATCAGTTATTATTATTATTATTATTATTGTATAGGAAGTGATTGAAATAGCTGAAGAATTCAAGACACCATTGACTCCAATAAAGCTAGGTATGTTATAATATGTACTATCACAATTGTCAAGTAGTGGGAGTGTAGACTGTACAGTGTATATACACATTATTAATTATTATTTTTAAAGATATTAAAGATCTTGATATTGTCATTGAAGAGCTAACAATACTCAATCATTTACCTTGCCATATATGGCATGATCTTGGTCTTCAGCTAGGACTCTATCAGCCTACACTAGAAGACATCAATAAAGATAATAATGGAGACTCTAAGAAGTGCTTCAGAGAGTGTATGTCTGCCTGGTTAAGAGGAGAAGATAAAGTGAGAGAGAAAGGAGGTCCCAGTTGGTCATCATTAGCTACAGCACTGGATAAAGAAGGAAAGCATCACATTGCCACTAACATTAGAGATAAATATTGTAAATAACAAACTGACAGTAACACATCAAGTTTGTATATTTCTCCTTAGGGTAGTGTCTAATTTATATTGTTGTTATTTCTGTTATTCTTCTTCTTAGATCCTAATGGAGTGTCCACTCCACCAACTGGTGGTACATCAACTGGTAGAGAAGTGGTTGCTATTGGAGACTACACAGCTCAATATTCTGATGAACTGACCTTCTCTGAGGGAGAAATACTTCAAATATTAGAAGAAGGTAAAGTAGAACTGATATGTATTAATTTTAAAACAAGAGCAGCTGTATATGCATATGTACATGTACATGTGTCTACACTTACAAGAAGAATAAAAGAAAATGGAGTGTATTATATCTTCATGATTTCAGCATTATTGAATCACCAACAATTAATGATCGTCTAAATTATTTTCACTATTTTATTTATATTTAAAATAATTTATCATTCTCCCTCTTTCTCTCTCCCTCAGTTGATGATAACTGGTATCATGGTGTGTGTCAGGATAAAGTTGGTATATTTCCAAAGACTTACGTCAGAGAACCTTAACAACAACCAGCTGCTAACAACCAGCTCTACCTGCTCCTCTTTCTCTCTCTTCATGTTCCTCTCTTGTAGTCATTAGCTGTTTATGAGTTAATCAATTGTTTTATTTGACATCATTTTATTTTATTCACTGACAATTATGGTATTATTTTATTTTCTTGCTGTTATTATTGTGATCTATTACAATTATCTATTCTATTATTCATTGTTGCATGTGAAGTGTATTGAATCTATTGATAATGAATTCCTGATGTGTGTTGTGCACTTCTAGTAAAAACTAATTAACTATCAATGAATCTAATTAACTGATCACAAGATGTCGTTAGAGGACGAGTGTTGGGCTGCGTTTAAGAATAGAGATCATGAAGAAGCTGTTCGCTTACTACCATTAGTGAAGAAACCGAATAAAATTAAAAGAGGAAGGGACCGTCTACTTCATTTGTCTTCAAGGAATGGCTGGTTAGATGTTACAAAAGATCTCATCACTAAATATCACTGTGACCCATACGAAAGAGATACTATAGGCCAGACTTGTCTTCATTATGCTGTGCAAGGTAATCATGTTGATGTGATGAGATATCTCATTGATGAGTGTCACTGTGATCCAATGGCTGTTAGCGTAACCGGGTGGACACCTCTTCACCGTGCTGCTTGTTGGGGTAGTTCTGCAGCTGTTGAATATTTACTATCAACTGGTAAATGTGATCCATTGGCTAAAGACTGTGATGGGTACACACCATTTAAACTAGCTAAGGAGTGTGGTCACACTGATACTCTTTCTGTCTTGAAGAAGTTTGGTGGTATAAAATCATCTCATCCAATTGATTCTTATGTTAACGTCCTCCTTGTGGGTAATCCTGGAGCTGGTAAAAGTACTCTTAGTCATGTCATCAATGGCACAGCTAGTTTTACTCTTCTTGGTTCCTTTAGAAATGTTGTAGGGGTAGTGCCCTGTACTGCTGGTATCATTCCTTATAAACTACAACACAGGACACTGGGTAACATCATTCTTCATGATTTTGCTGGTCATTCGGAATACTACTCTAGTCACAGTGCTGTGATTGAGAATCTGTTACAAGGTTCTGGTGGTGTGTTCCTGATAGTAGTCAATATATTGGAGAAGGAAGCAGTGAAACAGTTTCATCAGTGGCTAACAGTTGTGAGAAATGAAGCACAGAAAGTTCTTAATCAATGCCATGTTATTGTAATAGTCAGTCATGTGGATGAGGTAAGTAATCCTGTTGAAAGGAGAAGGAGAAAGGAAGAAATACAGGAGATTATTGTAAGGGAAAGTTGTGATAGTGTCTTCTTAGATTGTCGTAAGCTTGGTGGGAGTGGTGTGGATTCCTTCTTTAATAAGTTGTGTAGTGCCTGTGAGTCCATTCGTAGTACAAGTGGAAGGAATTTGAGTCTTTATTGTCACATGATGTATGGT